TCAAGGTCTTAAAATAATTGAGAAGAATATGCTACCTTTCTATAACATCAAGAAATGGTTAGATATTCTAGTCTTCTCGGATAGGGACGAATAAATGGAGGTCCCGTCTCCTGCAGGGTTAGGGGTAGGAGACGTTAATTTCCCACGCACGAGATTACTGTGTGATGGATGTCCTCCTCTGGGGTGGGATGGGTGGGTTGTTGTCTTGCGTTTTATACATGAGCCTCTGGCTCGGGCAATATGGGTAACCATGCCCCACGTAAAGACATTAAACTTTGATTACTGATAATAAGTGAAATGCACTTTTGATTGAAAGAGTGAGGACTAATATGCGACATTCTTGAGGGAAAAAAACGTTACTCACAGGGCTCGACACTAACTTTTCAACTTACATAGCCAAGTGGCTAGTGACATTAACTTAGACGTTACGACAATTTCAATTTGTTTACTAGGCAAACTGGCGAGTGGAAACTGAAAACCACTAGCCAAAACTGAATTTCTACTAGTCTATGGCTAGTTGGCTACAGTTAATGTTGAGCCCTGACTCAGCAGTAATGACAAGCTATCAGGTCACCCCGGCAAAATGCTGTTAGGAGATCTGCGATGGACTAGAATTTCATGGGGTAAGGGAGAAATGAGGTTTGGCATGTAGAGTTTTTTCTACCTTACAGACCTTACATGTACCAGTCATCTCAGTAAAAAAAGTAGAGATACTCTTTGCTACTCTAGTAGAGGCAAGATTGGTTCATCAGATTTCTTCTCAGTGCATTTACAAGTATGTTGCATAATTGCTTAAGAATGAAATTCTTGTAAACATTAAGATTGAATCTTTTTCTAACTGATAAATTTTCTGATTTAGAACAGCAGAAGTAAAAAGTAAAAAAATGCTGAGAATCAAAACTATATATTACTTTCCATAAAAGACATCTCCATTTATAATGTTCATAGAATATTCATAATTTATATTAAGTGCTGACCCATTTGTGACCTGTGGAGTCAAATTTGAGAAATCTGACAGACGAAAAAGGATACCTTTGGAGAAACATGGTCTACAGTCTGATGAATGTTCTCCTTCCATTCTTTATCGATGTCTTCTTTCTTTAATAGCATCACTTGTACAGCAGACTCAACATCGCCATTTGCCACCATCAGACAGTTTTGTAGTTCTAAAGAACAGGCCTCAGGAAACATCTCTGTTAGCATCGAAATTTCTTCACTTAGGCTGTCAATCAGAGTAAGAAAACAATTTGAGGATTTACCTTTGTAATAAAGGCTAATTTTATATCCTTAAGCTTGCCAAATTCAAATCCAAGACTAGCAAAGGATGAGCTTCATCTAGCATTCAGGTACAGAAACATGAAAACAATTACTTGAATGTCTAAATCCAATTTTAGTATTTATTATTATTTTTTTAGTAATTAAGGATTTGTACAAAGTACTGGAGCAGAAACAATAGGACATAGGTCCCCTACGAGGTTTAAGCACCAACAAATCCACCCATCCAACCCCTGGGGAGGACATCCACCACACAGTAATCTCGTGTGTGGGAAATTAACGTCTCCTACCCCTAACCCTGCAGGAGACGGGACCTCCATTTATTTGTCCCTATCCGAGAAGACTAGAATATCTAACCCTTTCTTGATGTTATAGAAAGGTAGCATATTCTTCTCAATTATTTTAAGACCTTGAATGTTGGTCTGGCCGAGGTTGAAACCCTCGGCCTCCCGCACAACAGTCCAGCGCTCTATCCATTGAGCTAACTGGGAGTCACACAAGTCTCTGGGCTCTAAATTTTAAGTAACTATTAGGTAACCTTCCATAGAGGGCAACGGCAGATTGCATTCTGCCTTTCAAAACCTGCTAGAAGAAATCTCAGCCATATCCTCCTTTGCCTGTTTCAAATGAGATGAAATGTATGAATCTTTTACCTACATGAAAATCTCTTTAAATGAAAAATTTGGTTCACACAATTTAGCCTGCATCCAAGTAATCAAGAAATACTACATGTATTTACTACAGGGTTCATACACTTTTTCAGGCCAAAGATTCAAGGACTTTTCAAGGACTTTTCAAGGACTTTCCAGGACTCTACTTAGAAATTTCAAGGACTTTTTGTAATGACAATTTTACCTCAAACCAAGAAAAATGTTTCTGTTAACATCTATGTTTTGGGTTTACCGATGGTGCAAAACAAAAGCAGATATTTTTCAATGTAGTTCAATAAAAAATCAAGGACTTTCAAGGACCCAAAACGAAATTCAAGTACTTTCAAGGCCTTGAAATTTGCCTCCTGAAATTCAAGGGTTTTCAAGATGCATACCAACCCTGTTACTAGACAGGGCAAAAATATCAGAAATCCAATAAAAAAAAGCTATCAGAAAATGATTCTTACCTTGCATTGCCTGCATTCTCTTTGAGTTCAATATTTTTCTCTGCTTTGAAGTCTTGGTTGCATCCATTCTTTGAAAAAGGTTGAACCTTGGTACTTTCAACTAGGGGACTGTTTACACCCTGTTCATCTGAACTAGAGTGTCCCAGTGAAGTTATTATTTGATGATCTTTAGCAAGATCACTACTTTGAACACTCTCTGCCTCTAAACTGGCCAATGATCTGTGATGATTGTCCTCTCTTGTCACAGTGTAAGCATCTTTGGGGAAGGCTGAAAGTAGTGTGTCACACAATAACCAAAGCTGTACTTACTTGACCTCAAGGGCCTAACCCGTTTATAATATTTACCCTAAAAAGTGTACCACTATAATTTCACTTTTACCAGGTAAAAGCAAAGTATAAGCTGCAGTGTGGGTTTAAATCCTGAATTTGCAACCATACACAACTATCAACTGAAGCAGTTGCTCTCCCCAATTTCAAATGACATATTGCTCAAGCCCTAACAAGCACTGGCAAAAGTTGACTTGAAAGGATTTAGTGTTTAGAGACCTTTAATCGAAACACAGACCTGTACAAAAGCAAATGTTAACCCTTTGATCCCTTGAGTGACCAGCATCTAATTTCTCCCTATAATATCACCCCTGAATCACACATAAAGGTCACAAGAATGTAGAAAATGATCACCAACTAAAGAAGCTCTTGACTGTTAAACAAATTCTCCTTTTCAGCACCTAAGGAAATGTGTAGAGAATAGTATGGAGAATACGCATACTGATGTTAGAGTGTAGAGAGTTAAAAGAACTTGATCTACCTGTGGAGATACTACATGCATTCCTTGAAGTTCTAGTCTTGACTAACTTGTCTGCCAAGTCAAGCATCCAACTTTGAACAGCATCCCTTCATGCAAAGGATCACAAGCTAATCAATAAACCATGAGCCAGCACATACTTTCTGTTTGCATTTTACTGATTACTGACCAAAAGTTTAAGTCCTCAGTCATGGACACTAAGATACTCGATTTATTTTTTATCATTTTTTTTTTTATTATTCTCAATAAAGTATAATTTTATTTTAAATGGAAATATTTGATGAAAGGGCATCTCAAGAAGTAACTAGCCAGTAAAAACCATCATAAAGCTCTGCTTAGATGGGTATCCAAAAAAATATTCTTCCTGATCCTATATCTAGTGCTAAGTGAAATCTGAGCGACAAGTGATCCAAAACAAACTGGTGAATGCTCATGCTTATTTCATTTGTTGGTGAGATTTGTAAATAGTTGATTTATTTGAAAAGAATGACACATTACATTTACGTTTGACAAAAGAAAATGGAACATACAGGTTGTATTTTCAGTACTTGCAAGTCAAGACAACAAAGCACCTATTGACTGCATCAAACCCTGGGATGTAAGCAGCCATTATTTCAGCAAATTCATCCACATCAAACTCCTCATCTTCACCAAGTTGTTCCAGGACATTTACAATATAACAGAGAACAATGTCATCTACACAACTAGAAAAAAAAAAAAAAATTAATAATGACAAAAACTAAGGTTCATACAGAGATACATAAACAAGCAAGACTCAATAAAACAAATCACACATCAATACAAATGAATAGCCCTTATCGCATTTACGCTCACTGTACGAGAGCTCAGCGGACTTTGAAGTTTTGAAACGAGGTTATCTGGTCACACAGGTAAAACTTTAAGTAAAATTGAAGGAAACGGCTACGTTTGGAGGCACTTTTTTTCATTTTCTGAAGGGTACAGTGTGTTCTTGTCATGGTTAGACATTGAATTGTGTACGGGTGCAACAGTCTATTTAGTGAATCGGCAACTGACGAGATCCACAAGATTAGGATTGAAATCGCGGTCTTGCCAAACACGTTCAACTATCAAACCAGAGGCGAACAAAACGCACATAAAAAACCTCTCAAATAAAAAACCTCTCAAATAAAAAACTTACAAACGACCAGATTAATTTACTGGCAAAAGGGCTTCAATTCATTCCAATACCTGCTACAAAAAAAAACAAATCAGACAACAACTACTGTGTGACTTTGATCAGTTCGCAAGGAGAATGCGTCTGATTTACATATTCCGAGGGGAGGACAAAAAAACCCATCCCTGCCACGTCAAATCTGCGTGGATACCACCAATACAAAAATCAGTAGCCCTTGAAAGCTATTTAGAAGAGGTTAAAAGCGACCTTTCAGAAATAGAAATTACAAAGCCAAAGATAATTTGCTTCCGGCCAAATGCAAGGCACTGAGGGCCTTGAAACGTGACTCTGAGTTAAACTT